TAACATCACTTCATAATCATACTGGACAACTTAAAGAAAATCTTAATAACTATGCATATGTATATATATATGTATGTATGTATATATTCATTAATTGTTATAACATAACAGACTTATTATAAAAACGTAATTTAATATTTTGGATAGTATAAAATGTTTTCATATTTGCCGGTCATTTAAAAATAAGGAAACTATATGAATGAAAATAATAGCAGAATATAAAATGAAATTAAAGTCTGTCTAGACAATAATTTTTAGAATCAATATTATAATTAACTTTAACAATATTATATTATAATTAATTTTAAACCATTCATATTGAACATAGTATCGGCATTAAATAGAGATGACAATCATGATACAACTCCAGCATTCTCATATGTAAGTTTTTATTATATGCAAGCAATTGAAAAGCCAAATTGCATTTTTGTATTTAGGAAAATCAATCGTACTTATCAATATTAGTGACCTATGGCCTTAACAATCTATACATATGTATATATCAACCGAAGTGCCATCAATAACATTTTCATAAATATTACATCAAGTAATTATTTGCCCGTAAAACTTTCAGAAAATAGTCAAATTTAAGGGTTTTGACAGCGATAAGATAATTGTAAAGTTAGTTTTCGAATATTTTTAAATAACGAAAGGTTTTTATTAATTGGAGTCCATTTTCAAATAATTCTAAAATTAATCAATAAATTGAAGATAAAATTTGTAAAGGACTTTAAAGCTAGCCCATAAGCTAGCCCAATTTTAATGTATAATACATACACATTCAATTTTTACAATATAGGCAATCCGTAACACAAATAAAACACTTAAAATTATTCGATTCGGTTGAATCGTATTACAAAATTTTAAATTATAACATTAATGTTAAAAATTTTAAAGCATGTGCAAAGAGTTCAAAGCTGGTCAAATCTTTAGGTCTATATAAAAACAAAAAAAACAAAATATGTAATAAAAAAGAAGCAAAAAATAAAAACTAGGTTTGTCTATAATTCAATATTTTTATTTCACGATGATTACAATAAAAAAATAAAATTATAAAAAACAAAAACGTTCAATAAAAAAATTCACAAAAAAAAAAACCAAACCTACCAATGTATATACAAATTAAACCAAACTGATATACAAAATAAAAATGTGATGAAGTGATTTATCAAATGACAACGACTATCAATGGACAAACTCGACTATATAATCAGACCAATCTAAGACCTGTGACATAAGAAATGTTTTTTTTTATAAATTACAGATGAATTTTAGATAAAATGAAAATTATGATTTTTTTGTTTTTTTTTGTTTTATTTTTTACATTTTTTAAATTATAATATTTTTCTTCTGTTCGTTTGTCGTCCCTTGAGACAGCCACAGCGGAAACTGTAAATTTACGAAAAGATTTTTTTTTTCGTCTACGATTTTTTGCTTGTGTCTGAAATAAGTGTAAAAAATTTAAGCTGCATAGGTATATCTACCTATATACAAGAAACCTATAGAGGTTTCAAGTTGAAAATAAATTAATTCCACACTTTCGTGAAATTTACTCATATAATACCGATGTAGCTATAATAACATCATTTGTCAGGAAATTATATACTCATTATTGGAGAGGTTTTGTCCCCAAAAAATTTATTGTTAATTGACTTGTAATGCGATAATATTAATTATGTGAAAGTTTTAAAAATGGATCGTGTACACTTAATATACTGAAAGATGAAGAGGAGGTAAAAAAAAATAAAAAATCATAAATTATCTATGATATTTAAATTGGTGTCTAAATATTTTTTTTTATTTAATAATTTTATGGAGGTTATAATATTATGAAATTTAGAGTTAATTGATTGTAACTATAAGACATTCGTATGTGAATAAATTGTAAGTAATAATTAATTTTTTCAAGATTCCGGTCATCTACACATCTATTCATATTTGAGTTATTATTGCAATTAATTGCAATTAATTGAATTACCGTAAATTGGCATTGTATTGACAACTTAAATTGTCATTGATTTTCAGTAGGCTTAATAAGAACTAGTCAGCATAACACAATTAAATTGAAATTAGATTTGCTTTGGTGTTCCTATCGCATGATTTAAGAACTTCAATAATGATAATTATACAATTATAAAAGAAATTATTATTCTCATTATCCATTAAAAAATTAAAATCATTTTCTGAAAATGCGCTATTTTTATAATGCCATCACAAAATATTCAAAAATCAAATGAGAGCATATTAATTAAATCTAAATAAAATATTTTGTTATTTAAGAAACAATATAATGAAAAATTTTAAATTTGATAAATTTTTGGTCTAGGCGAACTCTGTAAACCATAATATTTTCTCACAAATATTTATATAATTTTTATTATGAATTTTATAATGACATTATAATTATAATGTGATATTGAAATGCCAAACAAAAGAGTATGAGATATACGAATATCATAAAATGTAGAAGTAATTTGTTTTTATACAATGAATACATGGAGAGCGAATTGAAAAGAAAATTAATTATATGAAAGTATAAAACTTTTTCTTTACACTGTAGATAATTTAATTTTTACATGTTATAATAATTCTGTATGGTTTTAGTACCTCTTAATTAAATCAACTAAATACCTTAAAACTATAAAAATTAAGAACATATAAAGAAATTATATTTGACAAGTTCACTTAACCAACTCAAATTCAAAATTAAGTTAGTTTAACAAAAATCCGAAATCTTAAATATTACACGGTTGTAATTACATTTTGTTGTCCTATTAAAAATAACGTGTACATTATATAGAATATGAAAGTGTATAACTACATTCATGAGTTTCTTAAATCTTAAGTCGTTTCATAAGATCAAAAACAGTAAATAAAATCTACATACAAAACATTGTGACACTCTTTTTACGTAACTTAGGAAATAACGCCTGCGGGTATACTATTTTCTTGAATCTTATTTATTTTTTCTTCTACATTGCGATATTATTATGCTGTCAACCTTACTTAACGACAATGCTTTCACTATCATGTACTACTTAAATTTTCAATGAAGATTTTTTATTATCTTTCCAAGTGGTATCAATTTACCATTTTAAAGAAGGTTTTTTAATAATTTGGAGTTTCTATAGAGAAATTGATATCTTGCTAAAATTACCATCAACTCGTTTTTCTTTAATAATTTATGCTGTTTTCTAATGAACAGCTTATTTATTTATATTCAAAAAGCGATTATTAAGAATCAAAATACCTTCTTGAAGTAGTAAAAATAGCAAATTTATTTAATCCATAAACGAAAGCCTTTGAAAGCCTTTTATAATAAACCCTTATGTTTCAGCTTTTGTTTTTTGATAATTTGATCATAAATAATTGATATTTTGAAATTTTCAACAAAACAATTTTATTTTTATTTTAAAAGAATTTGGGCATTGAATTTAATCAAATTCGAATTAAAAAATTTATTAAATAAAACAACTTTGTTTTTTATTATTAAATTTCAAAGTCAATACATTTTTATAATTTAAATATTCTTTGTATTTTAATTTATATTCATTTTATGAAAAACCCCAAAAACTAGATATTGAGGACAATATGAAATCTCAATGTCAATTAATTACAATAACAATTTTTGTATAAAAATAATAATAATAATCACATACATAATTATTGTCCAATAAAACAAAATTTATTTAAAAAAAAAAAAGAGAATTTCGTAAAAATTGTGCCAGAAGCATATTAATCAAAAACAAAAACAATTGTGAAAGAAAAAATCTATTTTTTGTTTTAAAATGCTTTTATATACTAGTTAGCCAGACATGAACACATGATCATCCAACTTATTGTAATTTATTCTTTATTTTTGTTATTGTGATTTTTGTAGGCAAACGATGAAACATTATGAATTTCTTTATTTATATACTTATTCGCCCAAGATTACAAGCTTATATCACGTCATGTCCACCTGCATTTCTGTTAGACCCAATTAAAATATTTTTATAAATTTGGCAGCTTACTCATTATTTATAGCAAGTATATCAAAACATTATCGAAAAATACCGAAATACTGAAGAATATGAAAAAATACATACATACATATGTACATACATACTTACATAATTTTTATTAAAAAATTTTAATCAACTAGAAGCTCAGTTACCCATGATTGTATGATTAATTCTTTATTACTAAAATTCTTAGCTACTATGAGCACTTACTATGCTCGTATATTTTAAAAATGTATTCTTATAAACAAAAAAGTTTAGGCAAATTTTTGTTTTTGTTTTGTTCCTTTTTCTTCTAGCATGGTATTATTAAACTTTAAAAACTATAATAACACTTGCATTTTTAGAATATTTACTTACCAAAAACATACTTTGGAATGGTAGAGTATGAATAATAATATTTTTTATGGCGATGTAAATTGTTACATGTTATTTAAGTAAAGTAAATAGTTACCTCACGAGTGACCCAATCTATTTTCACTAAAATTTTACAATGTTAATACAATCCCATTGCATAAAATTTTTTCAATCTTCCACTCTTCAATAATAATAGAGCTGCATTTTTAAACAATTATTTGCATTGTTTTATATTTTATTGTAAGTGAACAATTTTCAAGCTAGAGAAATGGGGGTTTTACTGGAAAAAAAAAATATTGTATTTCTGTATATTTAAATATTGTTATTTCTGTATAATTCAAAAAACGTATTTTTTTGAGTTATGTCGCTGTTGAAACAAATCAGTGATGTATATGTAAATAAAAAGGATTAAAAAAATCTTAATTTTTCAATTTCTTTCAAATATATTCTTGTATAATATCCATTTTTTTAACTACTTTTTCATAACTAAATTTTATATTTTTTCACATATACATATATATCATATTTACATAGAGATTACAGTTTATTTACATTCAAACATAACATTTAATATTGTTTTTTTTTATTTTGTTTACTATTCTAGTTCTTTCTCTAACAAATTTAATTTTATACGTTTCATCTTTTCAATTCAAAAAAATAATATTATTTCTCTACAAAATAGTATGCTAAGACCTTATTAAGTGATGCATATTTGACATGCTCAAGTTTTATAATTTATATTCTATCTATAGAAATAATTATTATAAGAGAATGATTGAATATAAATTATTAAGAAATTTAAATTAATAAATAAACTATTTTAAATTCATTTTAAAAATAAAAACAAAAAAATTGTGTTATCGGAGTTTTAAAAAGGTATTCCATACAGGTGATTCGAGTTTTATTTCAAAAAAATATGTGTATTTATTTGTTTAATTTAATTCTAAAAACAAAAAAAAGAGTATTTTTGCAAACATACAACTAGTATATATGTATGTAATTAAATAATAAAGCTTCTGAAATATTCGTAAGTACGAGATATTTTTCTTTTAAATTATATGTAGCTGTTAAGATTAAGTAATATAAAATGATTATAATTAATATTTTATTACAACTTAAAGATAGCAACTTTGATTTTCTGTTGCCTCATCAAATTTTTAAAATAATAAAATATTCTGAGTTAATAAATAAAAAAAAGAAGAGAAAACCTAAGTAGTTACATAAACATACAAGCATATTAAAAAGTAATTATGCTAAATTATTGTATATTATATTGTGTAATTCAATCGTGTAAAATTATAAGGACACGCAAGAAGTTTTGGAATGTACTCATTCGTTTCTTAAAAAATTTATTTATATTAAAAAAGAAAAACATAAAGTCAAATTTATAAAACCTGATAATTACACAATATCAATAATGTAAGGTAAAATTGCACCTTCTTTAATAAAAAAAAAATCGCCAAAATTCTTTTATTAATTTGGATGATAATTACAGATTAGTATTACGTATCACTTTACTAATAAATTATTAATTTATTGAATTTTTAATATTTTCTATTGTATGGTTCGCAGGGACTAAAAATCGTAATGACGAATTTCTCAAATTATTGCTAACTTTTAGAAAACATTTTAAAATGCAACTAAGAACTATTATTAATTTAATAAAAGCCAAAAATTTTCTAATTCACCGTCTTACATTTAAATATGTCTCTATCAACTTTTAAAGAGTTGCATCTCAAAAAAAAAATTGGAAGAATAAGTTCTTAAAAATAATTGACTCTATTATGCAACCAAAAAGATACTTAAAAAAATTAATAATATTTATGTCGTTGTCTCTAGTAAAACAGATGCAGCTAATTCAATACTCCATCCGGTTTTAAACAATGCTTGCTCACATTGGCTCCTACTTGCGAGACCCAATCTAATAAAATTCAAAAACAAAAAAAAATGAAAAAATACAGTATCAATGTAATGTATTTATTATTACCTCAATAACTTATCAATTTTTATATGCCGTATTGCCAAATTATGATCCCAGTTGTTTGCTATAAGCGCCGAACGAGCTTCGCTATCTGTCAAAGTTGGATCACCAATATCTTTAATTAAACTTAACACCTGAGCATTTTCTGCTTGAATTTCTGGGAAAATGAAAATTTATAATATTATAATTGATTCATAAACAAAAAGTTTACTTTCAGCATTTTCATATATTCCAGTTTGTTGTAATTGTTGCTGTTGCTGAAGCTGTTGCGATTGGTGCTGCTGTTGCTGTTGTTGTTGTTGATGATATTTCATCTTTTCTAATCTTCTTTGAATTTGTTGTGCTGAAAGTTGTGGCGGGGCAAGAGGAGCTGGACGATGCGGTCTTAAAAAATCATCGACAGAGACTTCGTCATATATCACAGATTGCGCATTATTTGAAGCAACAGCCGTTGCATTTGTTGAAGTTGTTTGAGCCAAATTCTGCGTACTACTTGTTATAGGCACTTGACCATAATATGATGATGGAGTGGGAGCAACGATATCATAAAAATCTGAACCATAAACACTAACGTTATCACCTGGTATAGAATTATAAAAATTAGTAGTTTTCTGGTATACATTCGTTGAAGTTGTGTTTGATGACGTATTTATTGGCTTGTTTGATATAGCTACAAAATTGTGATTTTTCACTGGTGTTGTTGATTGACTTGAGAATTGAATTTGTGACGCAGCATTTTGATATATTTGTTCCGGTATAGAGTTTATTGACCCAAATTGTGATTGAGCATGCTGTTGTTCAGAAGATAACCCCTGAGTTGTTTCATACCAAATTTTGTTAATTAAAATGTTAGTTGCAGAAATATTTTGATTGTGATTTTGCTGTTGTTGAACATTCAGTTGCTTTTGTAAAAGCCCCGACGGCTGCTCGAAATTTGTTGTAGAATAATTATCCTTTGGGATATTTTGATGTTGATCTTGCAGAGAGGAATTTTGATAAATTTGATTACTACTAGCATATCTAGCTACTTCCTGGCAAGTATTTTGAATTTTAGGTTGCAGAATTATTGAGGGTTCGGAAGGTTGATTAGAATTCTTTTGAACGTTCAAATTACTATTAATGTTTTCGTTGTATATTAATGTATTTTTATAAATATCTTCTTTGATCGGAAGAGCTTGAGTTGAATTGATTAGATGCAAATTTTTGTCTGTTTTATACAAATCCTTTTCCAATTCCGCAATAAACGATTCATCTAATTTTTTTTCACAATTATCACTATTTATATCTGTGCTTAAACTGTCCTCTAAGGTTGCGTTACTTAAATTTACCGACATTGAATCATTTCTTTGTTTCTGCACATTTTCTATTCTTTCATTTTGATTTATATTCAATCTACTTACATTTTCCATATTCAATTCAGAAATTTCAGAATTTTGATCAGTTTCATTAACCGAACTACTTGTCTCCTCGTTTGCTAAAGAGCTTAAGTCAATGTTATAATTTGGAAATTGTTGTTGAGATTGGTGTAAGTTTGAAACTACATTATAATTAGGAGATTTCTTAATACCAGGACTGTTTGAATAAATTTGTTGTTTAGAAATCGCTCCTTTAGAGGAGGAATTCGCCACATAATTTTCATTCTGCGGTGCGATATCCTGCGATTTTGCAATATTTGAATACATGCTTAAAGCATTTTGTTCAGCGGTTTGTATTTTTGCAACAGATTCCTGGGAACGTGTTTCCCTGGGTACAGAATTGCCCATGCGATATGAATCGTTCATATTTGATAATTGAAAATTCATTTCAATTGTATTAGAATAAGTTGGAGGCATTTGATATGGGGGTGGTTCTTGTCGACTTGGAGAATGCGAAACACTAGTTATCGAAGAAAATGCATAATCTTCCGATATTTCACCTTCCGTAGGAACATCTATCGGAGCGTCAAGAATGCATAGAGCATTTAATGATGTTGACAAGTTTTCTTCTGTATTGTTAATAGACAAATTCTGGTTTTTATTAGAACCATTATTTTCTGATGAAATATCAACAAGAATGCCTTCTTGTTGGATATGTGATTTCGAAGATGCCGATTTCGGTTGCGGTGGACGAACTGGTTTTTGATTGCTTTTTCCTTGTTGCACCGAATCGAAACTAATATTTTTTTTGTCATTAATCAATTTGTTGTATGCAAACTGTTTTGCTGCAATACTGCGTCTCTCTTTCACTTGATAAGACGCAGATTTTTTTCGGCGACCAATTTGAGCACGGTCAAGACCTAAATAATTTTATTAAATTAATTGAAAGACTTTTTATGTTTGGTATATGCAATAAAAAAATATATAAATAGAAAATAAAAAGAACTACTAAAAACCTCTTAGCTCTACGTCATCGCCAATAAAATTAGAATCTATAGAGTTCGGACTACCCCAACATCCATCGAAAAAACTTGTGCTTCCGTGACCAGTATGTCTGAATGAACTCTCCAATGGTCTGCCTATATCAGCAACAGATACTGTTTTTTCAAGAACATCACTAACAAAAAATAATAAAAATTATAATTATATACAAAAGATTTATGCTATATCATAAACCAACCGTGGTAACATTCCAATTTCGAATGTCCTTTGATTTTGTCCTTTAATTAAATTCAAATCAGGTCTTCCATCAATAATGGCTATCACATCATTTTGTTCAATTTTTAAAAGGTTAGATTCATTGCAAGACATTATAGCTTTCCGCAAAGGTGGCGGCACACCTGACAGGAATTCTCTTAAATTATAAAAAAAAAAATAAAGTAACACAATATAATATTTACGCATCTTACTTAATAGCAGCAAAAGTTGGTCTTTCAGAAGGTGTCTTATGCCAACATTGAAACATTAATTCGTATACATCAGGTGGACAAGCTTCTGGACAATGCAATCTTTCACCTTCTCGATCAATTTTTCTTAAAATTTGTGAACCGTTTAAACCAACCCACGGATCTTCTCCAAATGTAAACATTTCCCATAAAGTTACACCAAACATCCAACTGTCAGATGCATGACTAAATTGACGATATCTTAATGATTCTGGTGCACACCAAGGAAATGGTACTTTTCTATGTTCATTCATGACGTAACAATCTTCCTCATTTGGTAATGCTCTCATTAAACCAAAATCTCCAATTTTAATTTTATTCCCAGATGTTAATAATACGTTACGACAAGCTAAATCACGATGCAAAAATCGTTTACTTTCTAAATATGCCATGCCGGTTGCTATTTGTACTGACCAATTCCATATATTAGGTAGAGATGTTGATCGACATTGTTTTCTCAACGTATCTAAAAGAGAGCCTCGTTCAGCTAATTCGGTTACCATCATCATTGGCTGTGATAATACAACACCATGTAGTCTAACTAAATTCGGATGATCTAAAGAGTGCATTGCTTGAACTTCTCGAAAAAAATCCTCTATAATACCCGGTTGCGTTAAATTATCTGCCTTTAATACTTTAACAGCTACTGAAACAGTTTTATTATTTGGAGCTACCCATTCACCTTTTCGAACTACACCAAATGAACCGTCACCTAATTTTGTTCCTAAAACTACATCCTTTTCATGAATTAAACATGTTAAAGCAGTAAATGACACATTTTCATTGCCAACAACTTGTTTTTTATTAGGTTGTTTACCACCTCCGATTAATTTTGAAAGAATATTTTTTCGCCATTGATGTGCTTTCTTTTTTCTTACAGCATCCATTAATCGACGTACTGCTGGCTTTCCTAAACCAATACGTTCTAAATCATCAGTTTGCACATAATCAAAATGTGCTAAACGTGTTATTTGTAAATCATCACGAATTCTTTCATAAAACTGTTCTAATTGCACCTCCCGTAAAAGTTCTTCAAGCCAATCAGTTTCTGATGTTGTACTTGCCATTTTTGTTTAACTAAAATTTCAAGAAAAATTATTTAGTTACATTATGTATGTATATGTATATTTTTATAATTCATATATTTATTTATAAGAAATTTATAATTCTATTTTTACATAATTATAGCTATGTATACGAACTTATAAAAAAAAATATTTCCTCGTCATTTTCTTTTATTTTCGTTAATTAAATTAAGTTTTATTGCTAATATTATTTCATCGTTTCTGACGCCATTACATTTTATTTATATTTCTTAGAAATTGAAAAAATACTATATTAATGGTATTTAGGCAAACAATTACTGCCGAAGCAACGTTTTCTGTAAAAATGTAAAAATTGACTAAAAAATAAATTAATACGAGTATCAGAAAGTACGCACTAGTTACTATTTTTGTTTTTGTGTTTCTCTTCATATTTAGAGAACATAAAATTTATTACAAAACAAATTCGATTGAAAATTTATGTTCAAAAAATTTTAAATTTTAATTTATAAATTATAAAAAGTTAGTTGAACTTGTAATACCAGTAAAATATTGTGAATCATAATCAAAAATATTTGATTATAATAAACAATAATAAATATATATAAAGCTACAATAACATTTCATTTCAACGATTGTACTTAAAATATTCAATAATTTCAACTATTTAAATTTTCAATAATTTTTTTTTTTCATTTTAATTGCAATTGTCTCGAAATAATACACGAACTGTTAATATTTTTTTCTTTGTGCTGAGAGATTCATTGTAAATTATAAATGGAATTAACACAGATGTGAAAATTTAAAAAAAAAAATATTCACATTCAACAGCTAAGCCAACAGTTTTAAATTAGACTATAAATAGAGATAATTTATACAACATACCTACTACTCTTTGAGAGTTTGTTTTAAGCTAATCATTTTGCTTAGGTTTTGCTCATTCAACTGAGACACTTACAATATTCAATTGTTAATTATGGCATGCATGTTCAACTAATTTTAAGTAAGTAATGTATATGTGTACATAATATGTACTCTTTTTTTTTAAATGAATTTTTTTTTTACTTTTTCTTTTTCATTATTTTTATAAAATAAAAAAAAGCTTTTTACTTTTTTTTTAATGTGAACTTGAATAATATCGTTGAAAATTTTAATTTTCAGATAGTTAGCATGCATATGTACAAACATAGTTACGTTTTTATAATTAATAAAATTATAAATTAAAAATTAAGTAGGAATTAAGAAGTAAATTATTTTTATTTTTTATAAAAGCAGTATAAAAAGTAACACCTACAATTTCATATTTACTAAATACAAGACTTTTATTTTGTCAGGATTTTCCATAATATTAATAATAATAATAATAATAATAATAATAAAATTTATATATGTACTTTTAATAAAAAACTGAGACTATTTTTGCTACAACTACAAAAAATTAAAGATCCACTAATTTTTTTAATGAAAAATATCTTAATTATGAATTCACACATCTAACATCTTAAATGCGTCATTGGTTTTCAACTGAATACTTAGCAAATAATAAACATCCACTGATAATAAATGTTTTGACCATACTTAATGATATTACATTGGGAACTTTTTAAGCTCAATAATTTCAATCTACGAAAAAAAATTGTGCTTTGTAATTTTTTTTTTTTTTTGTTAAGCATATGCAAAAAATCTGTTACACAAATAAATAAACACAACGTAATTCCTATTTTTAATCTCTCTTGGAAATATGAAAATTCAAAAATATAGTTTAGAAATAAGGGGAATTTTAATATGGTTTTAAAATGATGTCAGCTACTAGATTTCAAACTCTATACAGAATAAGAATAGACAAAAATTGATTTCAAATTCATAATTACTAATTAATTAAAGTTAAATAATTTCATTCTAACCGACATGAAGATGGCCTAGACAAATATGTATTTACCTTGCTTTAATTATTCTTATTTATAATTAAAATTAAACTATAATTTCAAGTGTACATATTGATAAATGCATTAAGTATGCATTTTTAGAAGATAGGTAGGTTACCTAAGAACGGTTATATCACTAAAAATTTGGACAAAAACACATTGGGAAGAATATTAATTAAAAATTGTACTCATTAAAATTTTCATTAGTTTTCATTATTTTCATATTTCAATTCAAATACATATTTCATAAACACATCTTCATTAATCTGCATATTCAAAATATTATAAGGGGTTAGTGCCTACACCTACATATGGATATGTATGTATACCTACATATTTTAATTTGCAAATTTTATGCATTATTATTAGGATTTTATAACAAAAATATTTTATCACACTTTGTCGAAACTTTTTTTCTATAAATTAATTATTGCATCAAATTATATTTCAAGTCTTTTGTATCTCAATATGAAAGAATTTAATTTATCTATCTGAATATTTCTTACTATGCGATTTTTTGTTATGTTTATGTGGGTGGAATTATAAATACGTAATTGAATATGTTATGTAGGAACTTATGGTACAATTCCTTACTTGTTTTTAAAATAATTGAAATTTTAAAAAATCTTACCTTAAAATTTATTTTGATTTCAATGATTCTAATTTAAGAAAAATTCGTTTCGTCTTGTTTTTTTTTTTGCTAATTCAGGATTTCATTATAAAAATTAATATAAATATTTGTTAGTACCCTGAAAACCATATAAATTAACGATTTTATATGGAATAAGTAGGTACTTTTTCAAATACAAAAAAAATATGAATCGTGAGACAATTAGGTACCGAAAACTAATTTTTATAAAATTAAATATTTAGAATAATAGCTATTCATCAATATGTTATAATAAGATAAATCTTCAGACAGGTACCAGGTGCAATGCATTCTCTCCTATTTTCAGCAGATGATTTCCAAACTTTTTTCTTGTTTTTTTTTTTTTGTACTTGTAAAATTCCTATAGCGTATTTGTTTTACTTTTAAATTACTATTAAACAGTTACATATTCGAAAATAACAAATTAATAAATACACGATTTTTATTTTTTTATATTTTAAATTAATAATTAATTATAAATAAGAGGCGCTTTAGTTTTAAACAACATGAAAAAATTTTCAAAAAAAAATTCCCTTTTGTGATGATGGAGTAACGATATCAACCAATGTGACATTTCATTGTATGGCAATGGCATTATTATTAAATGTCAGGAATTAAGAAACATTCAAAATTATTACATTATGGAAATTCACAATTTTTTCCATTCAATTCACAATTTCAATTTTGTAAATAGCTCACTTTTTAAGTAAAGTTGGATTTTTTAATTCCATTTTAAAATTCGTTAATTTTTTAGAATTCGTGATAGCAAAATAGTGAATAAAAAAGAGTTATTTTCTGTTTTGTTAGTGAAAAACTAACATTAATCACATAAAGAAGTATCTTAATGTCGATTAAATAACTGTTATTATTATTTTTTTAATTACAGAGCGATTAAGTTTTAAATTAACGGTAATTTTATATTTACAATAATGAATATAATAATTGCACAATGTGCAAAAATCGTTATTGAGAAAAATAAAGTTAAAAACACATAAAAGATTCATGTATAAAAAACAGGTTTGATTTAAAATAAAGTTTTATAAAATAAGTAACTGCAATGTTATAACAGTATTATTATAACGGTACTATAATACTATAATTCGTTATAATATTATAACCAGTATTTTTGTTGATTTAATTGTAATATCGATGTTCATTTTAAGTGCTTAATACAATGTTATTTTACTTTTCAATTCGCCCAACGTTCTTTATATGCGTATAACTGCATACATGTATGAAACATCTATAACTTTTAAATGCAGTATGAAAGTTCATAAATTTTCTGTATTAATAACTGTTTAATACGCATGTGTTGATTCCACAATTCAAGAAATACTAAAAAAAAAATGTAAAATCCTAAACAAAGGAAACACAAAGGCCGAACCCAAACTCAAAAAATATTATTTTTTTTTTCTCTCGTTCTAACTTTTATGTTTTATATATGAAATTTATTGAATTGTTTTTGCTTTTTACCTTACCGTATGATTATTGAACACAATAAAATACTGAGAATATTAAGAGCAAGCACCATAACCATATTTGACAGTCTTGTTTTAACTACCGTACGCCACTTTTTGGCGGACGAGTCTATAATCTAAGAAAATTTTTGTTTTTTTAATTTATTAAGTAATATAAATTACATTAGAAAAATAAAATAAAAAAAAAATTTATAAGGACAACTTGAGTGTTAATATTGAAATGTTGAAAAAGAAAAATAAAGGAAGAAAAACTTCTTTTTATAAAAAAGCAAATTTTTAAATATTGAAAATTGAATTTGTCATTAAAAAAAAAATATTTTTTTAATGCCTTCTGTTTTAAGAAGGAAAAATATAAACTTAAGAACTATGTGTACTTTACAATTTATTCTAATTTTCTTTTATTATAACGGTTCATATAATTGGAATATAAAGTTTTAAATTAATTTAAAGAAAAAAATTGTTATTGTAAAAAAAATATAAAAAGGTAAGAATTTAAAAAATTATTATAATTTTTTTATTTTACAAAAGAAAATCGTTGTACTTTATTTATTTCGTTTGTACTACGCCTTAAGGCTGCCTTTTTCTTGACTCAATATTTAGTTAAAAAATTATTCTAAGAGAAGAAGAACATTTCTACTTCAATAAAATTTCCCAAATGTCGCGTTTATTATTTCAAATTACATTTATTGATTTTTACCCAAAATTTTTTTACATAAAAAAAGAAAAACGCAAAATAGAGAAAAAAGGAACGAAATAAAAATAAAAAAAAAAACAAAAAATAAATTTTACTATATAGGTAATTGTTAAGGTACGAGAGAGTTTACTCCAAAAATATTTTGTAACAAATAAACAGAAAAATTGTTACTTTGTATATTCAAGATAAAACGCCATTATAGTATATAAGCAGAGTTATTAACTTACGTGACCAAAATCATTTTTTTTCTATGTATAAAATCACAATCGTCTTCTAAAAACTTTTTTAATTTTCTGCTCTTCTTCCTTAATTAAATTATTAAAACCTTAAAGTTTCAATCAAATCAAGCTATATTTATGTAACTTGAAATTTAAACACGAGAATAATATGAAAAAATTCAAATATATACCTACGCCTATGTGATATGATATCTACGACTATGGTATTACATGTACGATCCTTAAAAATTTAAAATTAAGAAACTTTAAATATGGAAGTAATTTATTTTATTATTTATGTATCACTAAAAAATATATATGTATATATATATTTAAGGAATGGTATATGTCTTCATATACTATACAGGACCACACCATATTGAGTATTCGTCTACTTTTTTAATAAGATTTTTAAAAAAATTTACAGATTTTCTTGAAAGTTGAAACATTTTTTAAAATTTGAAGGAACATTAAATTATTTCTTTTGCCTGCTTTCGTTTTTATTGAAATTTTACACGAATTTTCCCATTTTAATACTATGTACAAAAATCTTTCTATAGTGAAAAAACTATAAATAATATTTAATGATTATATAGTGTAAAATATTTTAAATAATTTTTAATGATGTCCTAAAAATTAGTAAAAATAATTTTAATTTAATTGATAATTTTCGGGAAATCTGGAAATGAGAAACAAATTTCACGTCCTTCAAAAACATATCCATATTTTGAAGATACAAAAGACCATAAAGCAATATGGAGTCTTAAAATATTTTTGGGCGTTGAACTAATATGGAGGTATGAAATGTATAGATTCATTTCCCTTTTATATATGTATGCATAATTTACAATAATTGTTTGTCTATGATATTTCGCAAAAATTTACTTATCAACAAATAAGTCTAAATTAAAAGAGTATATTTTTTTTTTTAAATCATTCTACGAGTACAGTCCAGTACTCAATCAACTGACCTATCAAAAGTATCTAAATTCAAAGTATGATATCTATATATTTACATATATATTTACATATTTATTAATTTAATTTTAACATGTAATTTAAATTAAATTAAATGCTTTATAAAAAATATTAATTAAAAACAATTGAATTTATGGTATGTTCATAAATATTAGTTTTCAAATGTCAAAAGATAATTGTAGTGCTTGTGCGATTCCGTTCCAATGACCATCATATTACCTTATTATATATGTATTTTCTCTTACATAAAGTCAAGTGTTATATTTTAAGCAAAATCAATCACTTCAACCTAAAATTTGAGTAATTGTTTGAAAAACTATATATGTAATAAAATTTACTTTGTATTTAGATTCAAATAATAAGAAAAACAGTACGCACGTCAACGAAAAAACCCACAATAATGTCAAGTACTTCAAATTCATGTTATAAAAAAAAAATAATCAAAATTTTCCTCCTATTCACCATTTTCGTGCAGAATTCAAATTATTTCAATATTAACTAACAATATATAGGTATTTGATATCACATGCCATTTTCATATTTACCATTAACTTTTGTCCTTTTCCATGTCGTGCTTTATAATGATTTTCATTTTTAATATTCCTGTATACACATAAATATACTTTTATATAACAATAATAGCAGGCCATTTACTTCAAATTTCTTTAAAATGAAAATGTAAAATATAAAATTTTTGTTGTTACTCTAACATTATAATGCCATACCTTACCAAAAATAAATGAAAATCAGAATTTTCTCATACTATATACACAGAAAAGAAATAAAAAAAAACGTGACACTATGGTGGCATTTGTTCCTTTTTGTTTGCGTCAAAGCTAATTTCATGGTAATTTTCTCCATACAACAACAAAAGTAATATTACAATATTAATAATCGGATTATAAAACGTGATATATGATTTTGTACATATATGTATGTATGTATATAAGAAAAATAAAAGAAATAAAATATTGAGAATGAGTGATGAAATATAGGGTAAAAGGAAACTGATTGACAGTGACTTATTCTGATGAGTCATATGCCATAATATAAACATTATTTTACTCATATATAAACTAATTATGAATAAGCACTTATTCATTTATTTAATGTTATACAAACATATACACAGATAATATTTTATAATATATGTTAACATACATGTTATATGCGCCTGTACATGCATATAACATATTTTTCTGATAATATCAAGAAATTGTTTTTACTCTTCATAAATTAAGATATCAAATAATTGAAAATTTTTTCTAAATTCATATCTTAAGTAAAAAACAGAAGAAGAGCAATTTTTCGCGGTGGAATGTTATGTAGTCTCTATAAATGTCACATATTCTACAAATAGGGCTGACCAGAATGAATCGAAATTCTCTCTCCGAATTTAACCAAAGAACTTGTCGATTTTGTTTTGACATCATGTGTTTCCATAGGTTTGTAATATCTTAAATGAAAAACTGAAAAGTTAATATTACCCATCCATTTAAAATGGGAATCATCCGCCATTTGCCGTTCACCACCTTTCACAATTAAACAAAAATGTTAAATTTCTAGATATCACCGTAAGGAAAACAATAAATCTTATATAATTAAAACATAAATTTTTTTATATATGTATGTACATATTTATATTATGTGAATAAACAGAAGAAAAATTTATTAAAATAATTCTATAAATAAAGTTTCTAACCAAAGAAAAAACAAGAGAAAAACACACAAATAACATACTCTAAAAGTTAATAATATCTATAAAATAAATGTAACTAAAAATGATTATGATATTTTGGTTAATTTACTATCATTTATACATTTATATACATGTAATTAATTTTATGTAGCTGTAATTAATATATTGTAACAAGGTGTTTCATTTAACAAAGATACTATACTCGTATAAGCAAAATGAGTATAAAAATTGTCACCGCATGCTAATATGAAATATTTTAAAATTATTTTGCTTTCAACAAATAAATATAATATTAAAAGCTATAATACAATAGAAATTCAAAATTTAAAATAAGGAAACTAGCACTATATAAGCTTCTTATCTCATACATATATATCTATATATAAATGATATATATATAAATTTTTTTTTTTTTTTTTTTTTCCTTTTTTCTACTC